CATACAGGCGGGGGAGAGCAGCGGGAATCCAAGGAGAAGCTGGAGTCTGTGCCGCTCCTCTACTCGCTGCCGAGCTGTGGGTGCCTGGTGCCACTGTTGCCATGGCGTAATGTACTTCCCATGATAGCTACAGCCCTGATGAGCGCAACGCACGTTGACACCTAACGCAATGCAAGCATGAATCCAGTCTTGAACTCTTCTTCACTGTTGTTTGGAGTTTCTCTCTGACAGCGACATCAACGAGATCCCTTAGCACCCTAGGTGAAGAGCCCAACATGTACCCCCCACCATGAGCTGTGAACTGCATCAACAGCATAGGTCTCAAATGTTGGCTTCTGCCTACAACTCAGCTCAGCCCTGGCTGAAATACAAAGTTTGGGTGGACTGACACTCAACTTTCTTTTTAGTTTTGGATAGAGAGGGAGGGATTAGACCACCTGATGGGTTTTAATTGCTGTCTGTGTCCCCGTTAAGGAGATCCATCCTCACCATTTGTCCTGGTGACCCTAACCCCTGAAATAAATTCCTACATTTTGGGTTTTAATTAGAGCAGGAATAGATGGTAAATCTTCCAATGGGCAGTTCTGGTGACCTTGCTGACCCCCGGGGATCTTCCTCTCTCTTTGGAGGGATTGCCTCTCACTTCCTGTTTTTGGCTATTGGACAGGAAGTGAAGGGAAATCATCCTGATGGGATACAGATTGCTAAAAAAGCTGACTGTGGGTTGTAACCCTCTCTTACTCTTATCAAATCTAAAACAAAATGGCTTCATTTCTACTTAAAGTGACATTAAACCCTCAGATCTTTTAACATAAAACAATACTGTAATGTGCGCCTTACTGTAATCCATGGTAGTTTCCCTTCTCTTTGCTGCTCTTCCTTTTAAATCTGTATCTGTTCTCATGCTGGGGGAGAACTTCTGTTTTGCAGCAGACTGCCTCGTCTCAGGAATGGATACATGGTGTCTGTGTGCAGGTTCACAACCTGAGCCAGCACTACAGGAAGAGGCACTCAGCTGCAAACAGAAGTTCTCCCCCAGCATGAGAAGAGATATGGATTTAAAAGGAAGAGCAGCAAAGAGAAGGGAAACAACCATGGATTACAGTAAGGCGCACATTACAGTATTGGTTTATGTTAAACAATCTGAGGGTTTAATGTCACTTTAAGTTCCTTCTCAACAGATTCTTTATGGAGAGGAGACTTTTGGGTATTGTGTATTATGTCTTTGTTTTACAGGGATTTCTTGTGTACCAGATTACTATGTATTGATGTTTGTTGTGTTTGCAGTGGTCTTTTTTTGTGTGTGTGTCATGTGATTTGTGTGATTTGTGTTATATTGATTGATGTCACCATGGGGCTTATCAGCAAGTAGGGCAGAGGAAAGGGAAGCAGTGCCCATAAGAACCAATTAGATTCCACCAGTTCATCTCTGAAGGTGGCAAAGGATTAGTCATTCAAATTTGGGGCAGAATCTAGATTTAAAGGAGAACTATGGGGTCAGTGTTTTTCCCCATAGTTCTCCTAAGGGTCACGGGAGGACACAAACTAGCATCCTCCCGTCACCCAAAGCTCAGTATATAGGGAGCTACAGCTCGCGATATACTGAGACCGCCGCAGCCGGGACGAATCCTGACATTACTGTCGGGATCCACCCAGCTGCGTGATTGACAGCGGGCTCTGCATTTCTAGAGGCAGAGCCAGCTGTGCCCACCCCCTCCCAAGTCCATTCCGCCAGTCAGCGCTGAAGGATCGGAGAGGGGGGAATCCCTGCAGGGAGCCGTGAGTGACAGTCACGGCTCTCTCCAGGGAGACGATCGGGAAGTGAGCGAGCGACGGTATGTCTTCGCTCACTTCCCGATCTATAGAGCCGACCTGTGACAGTCTCATTGTCACACGTCGGCTCGAACTATGAGGATGACTGGAGATCACTCACCTCATAGTTCTCCTTTAAGTTATAAATAAGGCATTAAAAATGCATTGTATGCATTTTGTTTTTGGGTGCACCGTTTGGCAGACGTGTGAAGAATGCTCTCCTTTATTCCCCGTAAAGACCTTCGGTGACAGCAATGACTTTGCATGCCCTACGCATTGCACTAGACATCACAGGCTGTGCAATGTGACCCAGTACTGCACCCCTAGTGGACACTACCAGATGCAATGGTTACAGACATGTAATTCAATAGACATTTTATTTTTATAAAAAAAAAAAAAATAGAAATTAAATGAAAGTCAGAACAACAACAAAAACATTTAAATTTAAAAAAATTAAATCGAATAAAGCACCCCTTGACAAAGCCAGAAGTCACTCAGGGCGCTGTGGCATCCTGGTTGAGAAAAGGCTGATTTAGAAACTGTTGAGAATCAAGCATTGAGAAGGGTCATGTGACCATCCTTCATGAACTGCCACCTCTAGAAAGGTAATTGTTATTTCTAACCTACTGCCCATCCAGTCAGTGAAAGGTACAGAGGGCAATACACGGGTTGCTATGGGCAATGCTTTCCTTTTTTTCCTGTCTTGGCTTGCTATATAGTGAGCCCCTTTTGGTGTACACACGCCACATCTTCTAATCCTGTCCATGTATGTCAGCTGCTTCCAGGCATGCTTCTGTAAGAGGGCTAACCAGTACTCTGTCAAGATGTCTGAGCTTTCCATCATCACTGTGTAAGTGTGCCCATCACCATGGATTTGTTACCGTGATTGTGACATCAGTGGTGGTGTATGTGTCAGCCTTCGGTGGCGCATGATTCATCGGTGTTGTGTCATTGTCCTGTACTACTCACAGAGTGCTATTTAGACACTGAGCCACCCTAGCTACACGGAAGAGATGGCTCCCTTTTCTGCCGGCTTCACCCCGGTTTGGCACATGATTGATTATTGGCCCTACTGAAGACAACCTGCAGTCTCCTTTACAGTCAATGCTAGACATGTAAGCTGCGGAAAAATTCGTTTCGGATATTTCATTATTTCGGGATTCGCATCCGAAATTCAATTCGGTTCGGGTTTCGGATTCGGACGAAATCCAATCTTGTTCGGATGAGTTTACGAATATTGATTGTGAATACCACAGAGCACCGTATACAGATATTATTACTAAAGCTGAATCTCCCAGACCTGAATGGCATTTGGGATCCGAATTTCCGAATTGCATTCGGGAGCTCCTGAATGCCATTTGGGTCTGGGTGCCAAATACATATATTACTAAAGCTGAGGCTCCCAGACCCGAATGCCATTGGGAATCCGAAATGCATGTGGGAGCTCCTGAATGCCATTCAGGTCTGGGAGCCATATACATATATTACTAAAGCTGAGGCTCCCAGACCCCAATGCCATTGGGAATCCGAATTTCCGAATTGCATGTGGGAGCTCCTGAATGCCATTCGGGTCTGGGTGCCAAATACATAAATTACTAAAGCTGCGGCTCCCAGACCCGAATGTCTATCAGGAGCTCCCCAGTGCAATTTGGAAATTCGGATCCTGAATGCCGTTTGGATCTAGGAGCCTCATCATTAGTATGAAATGTATATACTGTATATGGCTCCCATGTTGCTAGAACGAAAATTTGTATTCAGACCCATTCGGATGCATTAAACCAAAAAACACATCTGATTGGCCAGAAAAGTCACATGTCCGATTCGGTTTCATTTTTGAACGAAATTCGGAAACGGGAAATTGGGATTCGGATGTATTAGGATACAGAAACTCGGCTGTGTCTGAATTTAGGAAAATGTGTACAAATTTTGATTCGGAACGAAACGAATCGCACGTGTCCAGTCAATGCTGCTATTCAACACCATCAAACGAGAGACAGGGGAGAAGGCGATGGAAACATTTTCATTTTGACTGATCACTAGAAAGGGAGAAGATAACGTACCAGCATAGAAGTTGCCCACATAAGTTCACCAAAATTTGGTGAAATTGGTTGGAGTTACCCACATTGGCCCCACTTAATCTCATCTTAGACTGCTACACTAGATGGCACATTAAAATAGCATACGCACAATGTACAACTTTATTTCACTTGCAAAGAAAAGAACAAAGATAATCTACATTACGTCACAATTTGTGGTGTGTTGGAGCTTAGTCGAGCCAAATATATTTCACATGATATAGTCCATCCATATCATTGTTATTTCATATCGTCTATATTTTACACATTGTGTGGGAAAGTGATGTATAAGAGGAGGGGGGGGGGGGGGGGGGATACTTGTTGTTTCTTGTTGCTTTGTCATTTTTTTTTCTTTTTGCGTTTGCTATAAAATGTGTATTTTTCCCAATAAAATACCTAAAAATGAACTATGGGGTAACCTTTTTATCCCATAGTTCTCTTTAGCATCACAGGAGGACATATACTAACCTCCTCCCGAGACCCAAAGCTCAGTATATAGCGGGCTATTGCATGCTATATACTGAGAGCGCCGCAGCCGGGACAGATCCTGACTGTCGAGATCCACCCAGCTGCGTGAGTGATAGCTGGCTCTGCCTATCTAGAGGCAGAGCCAGCTGTGCCCGCCCCCTCCCCCATCCGTTCTTCCACTCAGCGCTGGAGGATCGGAGAGGGGAGGGGGGAAGTGCCTGCAGCAGGACCTAGTGCCTGCAGGAGGACCTAGTGCATACACCAGGACCTAGTGCCTACAGCAGGACCTAGTGCCTGCAGAAGAAACTAGTGCCTGCAGAAGGACCTAGTGCCTGTAGAAGGACCTAGTGCCTGCAGAAGGACCTAGGGCCTGCAGAAGGACCTAGGGCCTGCAGAAGGACCTAGGGCCTGTAGAAGGACCTAGTGACTGCAGAAGGGCCTAGTGCCTGCAGAAGGACCTAGTACCTGGAGAAGGACCTAGTGACTCCAGAAGGGCCTAGTGCCTGCAGCAGGACCTAGTGCCTACAGCAGGACCTAGTGCCTGCAGAAAGACCTATCTGTGTTACACATAGTCTGTTCAGGGAGTGCCTGCAGAAAGACCTAGTGTCTACAGTAGGACCTAGTGCTTGCAGAAGGACCTAGTGCCTACAGAAGGACCTAGTGCCTGTAGAAGGACCTAGTGACTGCAGGAGGACCTAGTAACTGCAGGAGGACCTAGTACCTGCAGAAGGACCTAGTGCCTGAAGCAGGACCTAGTGCCTGAAGCAGGGCCTAGTGCCTGCAGAAGGACCTAGTGACTGCAGAAGGACCTAGTACCTACAGAAGGACCTAGTGCCTGAAGCAGGACCTAGTGCCTGCAGCAGGACCTAGTACCTGCAGAAGGACCTAGTGCCTGCAGCAGGACCTAGTGACTGCAGCAGGACCTAGTACCTGCAGAAGGACCTAGTGACTGTAGAAGGACCTAGTGCCTACAGCAGGACCTAGTTCCTGCAGAAAGACCTAGTGCCTGTAGAAGGGAACTTTAATTTTAGGTCCAGTAGAGCAAGTTAATTCTGTTATGTAAAACGTGACCATATCAATATTTTGCATTAATCTTTGTTTTCTTCCCTCTGCCAGGAGGTTGGCTCGGTCTACATTACTACTGATCCCCCTTTTCGGAATACACTACACCGTTTTTGCCTTTTCACCGGAGAATGTCAGCAAGAGGGAAAGGCTGGTCTTTGAGTTGGGTCTGGGCTCATTTCAGGTACTTAATTTCACAGTATAATCAAACCGGTCCTCATTTCTAAGCATGACTCAATCAGAACTTTCTGTATAACCCAAAAGCCACCAGTCAGATTAATGTCTGAACTGGAGAAAGTAAAAAAAAAATGGAAGGTTGAAGTTGATTGGTTGGTGACCCAAACAGATTCCCCAATCACTGGGCTTTAATTTATAGTATAACTGGCCCTGTGATTGGGCTGGGGGTGGAGCCATACCCATTGTATGCTGCCATGTAGGCGTCAGGAAAGAGAGAAATCACAAACACGTGACTGGAAATCAGCCAATAAGCAAGCCCCCTATGCGATAACACATTGAAGGTAACAGGTTCTCTTTAAGGTGGCATTAGGGACCCCTAGTGTCACCTTTCCACTGCAAAGAAGCTGATCCAGTGCAGATCGTGCTTGAATAGCTTGTTTCCCAGCTTCTATAACCGGGGAATGACAGCTCAGGAGACGGGAGTGATGCAATCAGCGTCGCTTCCGGCTCCATATAGCGGGTAGGAGATCAGCAAATGGAAGTTCACTGGTCTCTCTCCCTGCTACTCGGTGACACCTGTTATGCCGGTCCTGGGCCATCTGAAGGGGCAGGGGAGCCCCTGAAGCAAGGCAGGAGGTGTCATGTGGGGAGGAGCGGGGGGCTTTATTTACCAGCCCCTGGAAGCAATCTGGCCACCAGAATAGCTTCCAGTGTAAAGCCAACAGTCTGTTTTATAGGGGCCAGCACAGTAAGGCATAGGACGCCGGCAGTGAAAGGGTTAAAAAAAAAGTCAAAAGCAACAAGTAAATTCTTGAAACAATCATCCAGCTGTACTACAGGCTTCTCAGATGTGGCTCCGACTCCAGAGAGTTAAAGTCTAACTCTGGCTAATTACTTGTTTGGGAAAGCTGGGAGGAGTTATAACCTCCGTCAGGTTTTTCTTGTTTCTATTTTCCTTTTGTGGAGATTTTCTGTCACTTCCTGTCCCTGTGATGTCCATACATGAGATGTAGGGGGGCAATTGTCAAATTAAAACTGTCACTCGTCCCTCATTAAAGTCATTATGCTATTAATCAGTGAAATGTAAACACACATTAAACATTATTTATCTCTGTTTCAAGGGTTTTGTTGTGGCAATCCTCTACTGTTTCCTGAACGGCGAGGTAAGATAAAGTTTACTGCAGCTTTCTCATTCACAACACAGTGAGAATCTTGCAATGCTTCATGGGATTTGTAGTTCCACCACAGCTGGAGGGCCGGAGTTTGGCTACCCCTACTCTAGATATTAAGGAATACATGACATTGATAGTCAATATGTCCTCTATGTTCATGCAATGTATCATTATCTAGAAAAAAATATGAATGATGATGATGATGATGATGATGATGATGATGATGATGATGATGATCAGTCAGTTTCTAAACATTACATGATAAAAAAAAAGGATGATTAATAGAAATAGGTACATAGCGAGAGAGAAATGAAGAGGTACAGTATAGAGAGATGCAGAATACTATATATGTGCAACTGTAAGATATGCAATAGAAAGATAAATGAGAGAGAGAGAGAGAGAGAGAGAGAGAGAGAGAGAGAGAGAGAGAGAGAATAAATGTGAGCTAGATTTATACAATGTAAGTGTGAGAGATACAAGATAAAAAAAAAAAAAAAAGAGAGAGAGAGAGAGAGAGAGAGAGAGAGAGAGAGAGAGAGAGAATAAATGTGAGCTAGATTTATACTATCGCATTCTTACCATCCTTTTGTAGAAAGAAAACAGATACAACAGACAGACATTATGACATGTGTATCATCCTTCTCCATAACAACAAAAGTACATAAAAAAAATGACCTTTTAAAGTTTCTCCCTAAAGGTGCAATCAGAGATAAAGAGAAAATGGAGGAGTTGGAAAGTCAACCGGTACTTTGCTGTGGATTTCAAGCACCGTCACCCCTCCCTGGCGAGCAGCGGAGTCAATGGGGGGACACAACTGTCCATTCTGAGCAAGAGCAGCTCCCAGATCCGAATGTCCAGCATAAATGCGGAGAACCTGGTGACATGAGTCCCCCCACTGCCTGAGAACAGACAAAACGTCACATTCTTTTTCTTTTTTTTTTTTACATTCCCCTGAATACTTTACTTTTTGCATTTTACTTTTCAGTTGTTTTTTTTTTTTTGTTGAACGGGGACATGAACATGTTTTTGGAGTTTACAAATAATTACCCCTCACTACCAGTCAACAGAGGTTACCTTGTCCCTTTGAATGTCCTCTGCGATAATAACAGAAATTATTTGGAGCACTTGAACTGTAATTCTTAAAGTATGTTAAAAAAATAGTGTGTACACAGACGCCAATGTA